GCTTCAGCCTCCCAAGTTGCCCAGATTATAGGCATGCACCATGGTACCCGGCTGTACCTTGTGTTTCCTAAATTAAATACTGGTTTAAGAATTGCCACCTATTAAATTAATGGTTTATATGTGTAAGGCTTCATCTGAAAGCTATAACTGATATATGTTGTAGAAAATTATATTTGCTTAATGATAAAGAATTTTGAATTTAGTAGCTGAGTCCCTTTTAAGTGACTGAAGATACAACATAGTAAGCTGGAGACTGATTATCCTTTGAGCTTCCAAGCTTCACACCTGGCTGGAGTTTGGGACATTATTTTTCAGATTGCACATTATTCCTAGAAATGAAGAGTGGTCAGGTCCATGTGCCTTAATTGTTTGTGTCAACAATATGGCTTATGAGGAACACCTGCTATCTTTTTGGAGGTCTGGAATTGTATGTTCTGGAAAACATGTCCAGTGCAAATTCTCTGCAGTGAGCATCAAGATTCCCTAATAGAATCTCATATGTGATTGTTAAGTTCCAGATAAAGCTTACATTAAGTATATCTAATATGACTTCACTGAGACAGGCTCAAGAAAGTAGTGCCTGGTTTCCTCAGCCAGTGAGTCTCTCCCTTTAGTAAGTGCTTTACACCTTTTGGCTATAATAAATAATAACCACTGACCATGGCAACAAGATGAGTTCTCTGAATTTTCCTAGTAAATCAAACTTGGAGGTTGTCCTCAGGACTCCAACAGTCATTCATTATGACTTCTAAAATTTTGCACATCTGTCCATAAAAGTCCATGCATATCCTCTGTAAGGTCATCATGTCATAGATGGTGCCCATTCTTTATGGTGAACACTGTGAAGGACTCAAAAATCATTACAAAAACATATGTGGCTGTTCACCTAACAAATATTTAAGTGTCTATTAAAAAAACAAAAGATAGAATGCACAGAATGGAGCAGAGGCTCACTATGGGGACAATAAAAGGAAGAGGTGAGAGGGCTACAGTGATCTGGTTTGGGCAATAAAGCAAAAGTTAGGCAGATTCACAGAGTTGTTTTTCAGGCACCTCAAAAAACATCTAAAGACAAATGCAAGCCTTGGCCCTTTTCTGCTCCTCCTTACTTTCCGTCTCCCCTATTTCTCAAACCCAGGCATTCTCTAAATTTTCTACAGTTACAACAGACTACACCCCTTTTAAGAGTATGGTTCATCTTACTTGCTTGAAGAGATGGCCAAGATGTATTCTTAAATGTTTAAAAATAGAAGGTTTCAGATAAATAAGCCTGTTTCATCCATTCTAGTTAAAATGAATAATGACCAGGAGAACAAAGATCCGCCCTATAATAGGCAATAAAGTTAAAAGTTTTTTATTCTGGAGTCAACCAACATTGCCTCCAGTCCCTAAGCTCAAGTTTCACAAATGGGTAACCTTTGGCATATTCCCTCATCTTTCTATAAAATGGGAAAATAACTAATACATAAAGATGTTATAAAGGAGCTGGGTACAGAGGTACACACCTGTAATCCCAGCAGCTCAAGAGGCTGAGGCAGGAGGATTGTGAGTTCAAAACCAGCCTCAGCAAAAGCAAGGTACTAAGCAATTCAGTGAGACCCTATCTCTTTAAAAAAAAAACAAAATAGGGGTGGGGATGTAGCTCAGTGGTTGAGCATCCCTGTAATTATTGTACTGAGTTCAATCCCCAGTAACACCCCCCCCCCAAAAAAAAAGGATGTTATAAAGGTTAAAACTGTTGAGGGCCACAGCCAAGTTGGGATGGCGCCAGAAGGAGTGGTTAAGAGGTGATGATGATAACTAAATTATAATTGCTGTGACTGGATGATGCTGGATTGAAACAGGCTATGTATTGAGTTGTATATGGACCCTGCTGCTCCGGGAATATGGCTGCAGGAATAGGGCTGCCTTAGACGCCCACTGCTTTGGAGTTCCCGAGAGAGTTCGCCTGGAGCCCGGTGGAGGATGAGAGAGTTCCTGGGAGTGTGTGTGGAGTGTGCTGGTGGCGTTCGTTCGGGAATAAAGAGTTGCTGTTTGAACCTACAAGTGCTTCATGGCGGTTCAGTTATTTTGTGCCCAGCCAGACTGCGGCAAAAACAGTTGATACGTGTAAAACTTCCTAATCTCTAACACATAGTAATACCATGTTTACTTGATCTTATATGATTGCTCACCTATAGCCACATGGTGGATACATACATCCTGGGATCAGTGTGTATTAATACAGTAAAGATGCAGGATGATCAGTGGGTAAAGGACATGAGAAATGTTCAACTGGGAAACATGATTTGGGGAAGTTCTCTAGACCACTGACAGTAAAATGCCTTGAGGAGAATTCATTCATTTGTGGGGAACAAGAAAAATTATAAAAACAATGGCCATGATGACCCTGAGAAGTAAAATTGCTTATTGGATAGAATACATACAAAACTACAGATACATCCATGGAATTCTAAAATAAGGTGAATTAACCAATGGGAAGAAAACATCAAACACAAGAGAGGAAGAGTTAGCAAGGAAAATAAATTCAAATCATAAAATGGAGCTGTGAATGCTAGCAAATCAATAATTACTTTAAATGGCCTAAATATACCAATTAAAAGACAAATATATAAAAAGGATATAAAAGCAGAATCAGTGTGTATGCTATTCATGAGAAACTTGTTTCAAATATGTTAAGGGTCTGAAATAAAATAATGAAAAAATATAAAGGATACGAGGATTAGCCAAAAAAAAATGTAAGAGTGAATATACAAATATCAGATAAAGTATACTTCAGAGCTAAAAGTACTTATAGGGGCAAAACCAGGGTGTTAAAAAATGATAAAAGCCAGGCGCAGTGGTGCACACTTGTAATCCCAGTGGCTTGGGAATCTGAAGCAGGAGGATGGCAAAGCCAGCCTCAGCAATGGTGAGACACTAAGCAACTCAGTGACACCCTGTCTCTATATAAAATACAAAAAAGAGCTGGGGATGTGGCTCAGTGGTTGAGTGGCCCTGAGTTCAATCCCCAGTACCCCACCTCCACCAGAAAAAGTTAAAAAAAGGCCAATACACAAAGAGGTCTTAGTAAACTTACATGTATGTACATACCAAACACAGAGCTGTGAGTATATGAAAGAAAAATTGATAGAAGATAGAACTTACAAGGAGGAACAGATACTTCCATTCATATAGTTCAGGAGTTTAGCACCATTCTCTTGGTAATCTGAATAACACTACCAACAAACAGGATCATCTGGACCTCTACAGAAATTTCACCCAATTACAGCAGAACATGCATTTTTTTTTTTTTTTGCAAGAAGCCATACAAAACAGGTCATGAAAGACTTTAACAAATATAAACAGGACAAATGTGAAACACGTTAGAAATCAACAACAAATAGATAAAAGGAAATATTCAAAATACTAAGAAATTAAACAACTTCTAAATAATTCATGCATTAGAAATGAAGTCTCACCAAGAATTTCAAAATTGGAGAAATATAATTAAAACTAATTAAGAAAAGCTAACAGTACTATGATTCAAATTCAAAGAATTTCATGCTTACATTAGAAAAGAAAAAGGCTTCAAATCAATAAGCACCCACTTTGAGAAATTAATAAGAGCCAAATATAAATAAATTAGGTAGAAGAAAGGATATAACACAGATCCAAGAAATGGGTTGAATTAAGAACACATAGTAGAGAAAAAAATCGACACAATTTTAAATAACTGAGAAAATTGAAAAAAATCTAAAAAGATTACAAAGACATTCATTACAAAAGAATGGCTATAATGGATACACTCCCAGCTACTGAAGAGGCTGAAGCAGGAAGTTCATAAGTTCAAGACCAGCCTGGGCAACTTAGGGAAGACCCTGTCTCAAAACAAAAAGGGCTGGGGATGGAGCTCAGCATTAGAGCATCCTGGGGTTCCATCCAGAGTACTGTGAAACAAAGAAGAGAGAGAGAAAATGGACATATTTCCAATATCAGAAGTAAAACAGGGCATATAAGAACATATCCTGGGCTGGGGATGTGGCTCAAGCGGTAGTGCGCTCGCCTAGTGCAGCCCGGGTTCGATCCTCAGCACCACATACAAAGGAAGATGTTGTGTCCGCCGAGAACTAAGAAAAAATAAATAAATGTTGAAATTCTCTCTCTCTCTCTCTGTCCCCCTCTCTCACTCTCTCTTTAAAACAAAACAAAACAACAACAACAAAAAACTGCATGCTTTAAGATGGTAATTCGTTTAAAAAAAAAAAAAGAACATATCCTGCTGCAATCAAAGGATAATAGAAAATAGTTCAAACAAGTTAAATAATTTGCATGAAATAAAACAATTCCTTGAAAAGAACCATGATAATTTATCCAATATGAAATACTCTTATAAGTTCTATACATATAAAATAAAATAAATATATAATTAAACATCTTAAAAGAAAAACCTCCAGGTCCAAATGCTTCAGTGGAGAATACCACCAAGCATGACGGGAATTACACGGATTCTACAAATTATCTTCCAAATAACTGAGAAGACGAGAAGGGTTCCCCATTCATATTGGGAGATGAGCGTCACCCTGACACCAGATGAAGACAGTCCAAAAGCAATGAAGAAAACACAGCTTCCTTATAATTAACGAAATCAGGGAAATTTTCCTCAACAAAACACTAGCAAATGGAATAATGCTAGACAAAATCACATGCCATGACCAACTGGGGATTATTCCATGGACGCAAATCTGGCTAAATATTCAGATCTCAAATTAATACGACATATCATATCAACAGAATATAGAGGCAACATATAATGATCATTTCAAATGATTGAGAAAAAACATTTGACGAATTTCAACAATCAGTAATAAAAAAATCTCAGCAAATTCAGAATAGAAAAAAATTTTCTATTTTTGGCTAAAATAAATCTTATGTTCAACATCATTATTTATGAGAAACTGAACATTTCTTCCCTACTAGTATGGATGAATTAAAATAAGGGAAATAAAAGATATGCAAGATGGGAAAGAAGAAAAGATTCTATTTACAGAGGACATTTCTTTGTTTAAAATCCAAAGGATTCGCTAGCAAAACAAATATAAACAATGCTAGATATACATCAGCAAAGTTGAAGGATAGTAAGACAATATCCAAAAACTAATTACATTTCTGCATACTGCCAAACATCATGTGGAAATTGAAAGTTTAAATATTAATTTTATAACTGTTTAAAAAAAGGTATAAATCTTATTTAAAATATACAAAAGCTATATGCTATAAATTATAAAACAGTAAAGGAATAAGTCAAGGAATACTTAAATAAACAAAATGATATACCAAGTTCATAAAACCACATTCATAAATGGATGACTCACCACAATAGAAAGATACAATTCTCAAAAAACTGATCCTAGATTTAACTCAACATCTATCAAATATCATTATGATATCAGAAAAACAAATCCTAAAGTGTACGTGGAAAGTAAAAAAAAAAGTACTAAATCAACTTGAAATAAAAGAAAGAAAAGGAATCATTTTACCCAATTTTAAGACTTACTACATAGCTTCAAGTAAACGAAAAGAGGGAATCAAGAAAAATTCTGAGTGGTGTTTGAAACCATATTAAAGAGAGTTTGCCAGTCTTAAGTGGTGCAATAACAAGTGTCCATTCATTTGTATACCGTGGGGCTGGATGTAGCTCACTGGTATACTGCATGCTTAAATTGCTTGCGGCCCTGGGTTCAATTCCTAGCACTACACACACAAACACAAAAACACGTTTCCTTATTCCCTTAAATATAAAAGTATTCCCACACTCACTGCACTCACACCTTCATATTCTTCTTAAAAACGTATGCTCCACAAGACAGAGACAATATTGTACAATAAGGAGGATATTTAGTAAGTTTCTAGACTTGACTTCAACTTTCTAACTCTCAACACTGGACAGCACTGAATGCATATACAAGACAGTCAAGTTTCTTTGTCTCCTAAACCAGAACCCTCTCCACCCAAATAAACTAAGAAATCCATGAACAAGTCCCATAGACTGAGTGGAATAGTGTGAAAGAAGCAGTGCCTATGTTTCACTCTATATCACTTCCTTTCTATAAACATTCCTGAGATAACATTGCACTGTAAATGAGAAGAAAGATGCAGCTGAAAGTAGTCCTAAGTGCAAAATAACCTCTGTCTCTCTCTCCTGGGATGAATTCTCAGATGGAGAACAGTGTTGTAAGCTAAGTTAATTTCTAATGAGTCTTCAGATAATAAATAATAAGGTTTTCTTATAATGAAGACATTTGTGGGTTTTCTCTTTGGTATGAATGATCAGATGCCATGTAGGATGTTTCCTCTTTCAAAAGCTTTTCCTCATCAGTTACATTCACAAAGTCATCCCCTAATAGAAGTTCCTGAATGTTGACGGAGGCATGAGCATTTGTGAAAGGGGGCCCCTCCTCTGCTGCGCTGACAGGGTTTCTGCCAGTGTGCATCCTTTGATGGTGAGTGAGGGATGAGCTGCGGCTGAAGGCCTTTCCACACTCACTGCACTCATAGGGCTTCTCTCCAGTGTGGATAATAGAGTGTCGAATGAGATTTGTGCTCCAGCAAAAGGTTTTCCCACACTCGATGCATTCATAGGGTTTCTCCCCACTATGAATACGCTGGTGCCTCGTGAGACCTGACCTGCGGTTGAAGGCCTTCCCACACTCCATGCACTCATAGGGCTTCTCCCCAGTGTGGATGCTGAAGTGGCGAATGAGGTCTGCCCTATTGCTAAAGGCTTTCCCACATTCTTTGCATTCAAAGGGTTTTTCTCCAGTGTGGGCCCTTTTATGCAAGATATAAGTAGAGCAGTGGGTGAAGGCCTTCCCACACTCACTGCACACATAAGGCTTTTCTCCAGTATGAATGCGCTGGTGCCTCTTGAGGTAGGACCTGTGGTTGAAGGCCTTCCCACACTCGAGGCACTCGAAGGGCTTCTCCCCAGTGTGGATGACGTAGTGGTGGATCAGGGCCGCGCTCTCACAGAAGGCTTTCCCACACTCGCTGCACTCGTAGGGTTTCTCCCCAGTGTGAGTCTGCTGGTGCCACATGAGATATGATCTGTGCTTGAAGACCTTGCCACACTCAAAACACTCATAGGGATTCTCGCCACTGTGGATGATGTAGTGTCGAATGAAACCCGGCCTATCACGAAAGGCTTTGCCACATTCTTTGCACACAAAAGGTTTCTCTCCAGTGTGGCTCCTGTTATGCAAGACAAAAGTGGAGCGGTGGGTGAAGGCCTTTCCACACTCACTGCACTTGTAAGGCTTCTCCCCACTGTGGATCCGCTGATGCTGAGTAAGGTGTGATTTGCGGTTGAAGGCCTTTCCACACTCCATACATTTATAGGGCTTCTCCCCTGTGTGGACCATGTGGTGTTGAAGCAGGTATGTGCTTTTGCTGAAGGTCTTCCCACACTCCGTGCACTCGTAGGGCTTCACTCCAGAGTGGATCCTCTCATGTCGGGCAAGAAGGCGTTTCTTGTTAAACACTTTCCCACATTCACTGCATTTGAAGATGTTTTCATTCTCCTGACTCATGGGATCCATAGCAGTGATCTGTGGGTCACAGTCATGAACAGCATCTCCTAGACAGACAGGGTCCTGTACCATCCTTGAACAAATGTCCTCAGATGCCCCAGAACCACCAGGTCTAGGGATACTTTTCCCAGGAAGCTTCTCCTGCAGCTCTACACCTGGTATCAAGAGTCCTTCCTGCACTGCTGATGGCCCATCCTGACCTCTGGCTGCCACCACCTGGGAGCACCCTGAGGCCCCTTGTGTTATCAGTCCCTGGAGTGAGGCACCCTCAGACAAGGCTGGCTCACAAGTAGTAGGTTCGGTGGCTTGAGGTTTTCCACTGTCACCTGAAAGAAAATTCAACACACAACAGGGCCTGTTAATAACAACACAGAAGGACAAGATCCTCACTTCAGTGAAAACATGGAACTCAAAACACAGCCTCCTGTCCACTCTGTTACCTCTGAACCTTAGGTTTGAACATCTTTCTTCCTGACCCTTGGACCCCAAACACCTTGAAAGGGAGACCTGGGGAGAGGTCAGTCAGCACACAGAGCGTCTGTAGTGGAGTAAGCTCTGCAACTGCAGCCTGCACGTGGCTGGACAGAGCAATGCTGAGACCATGCAGAGGAAGCTTCCTCTACAGGACGCCATCCCATGCTGTTACAGGGACACCAGGAAAGCACAACGAAGGTGGCCCACATGGAAGACAGGAAGCGTATGAGAGAAATCTCAGCAAAAGTCACATTTGGTGTTTGATCAATGGGAAACATGGAACACTAGATTTCTGGAATTTCTGCTTCACACAAGGTAGGCTCCTCATATCACTTTGGACCCCCTATCAATTCATCCTGAAGAGATGACTCAGGGAAAGATCTGTCCACACCAGAAAGACAAAACATGTGATCAGAGACAGAGCAACAATATCTAACCTGGACTTTTTGGAAAGGTTCACATCTGTTAAACCCCAGTTTTGTGATTAATTTCTTTCCTTCTCTGTATCAGTTGTTGAATTTATATATCTATCTTTTTGACGGCATTGGGGATTAAACCCAGGGATCCTCTACCACTAAGCTACATCTCCAGTCCTTTTTATTTTTCATTTTGAGACAGGGTCTGGTTGAATTGCTAAGACTAGCACTGAACTTGTGATCCTCCTGAATCACCATTCTGAGCTGCTGGGATATAGGGTATCCACCACATTCAGACACTTCTTAATTCTTGACTCCTTCCTTGAAAGCCAGACCAAATGAAGAGGCTGGGTGAAGGGACAGAAAGTCTTTAGGGGAGAAATTATCTCAATTCCATATTGACAATTTACAAAAAGTTATCTCATTGTGAGCCCCTAAATAATGTATTCTAAAGAAATGAATCAGGCTAAGGTCTGGCAAAACCAGACAAACTAGTAAGATGACCATGAGAGCATTAAGCCACAGTGTAGCAACCAAAGCCTGATGCAGTGGTGTACACCTATAATCCCAGCAGCCAGGGAGGCCAAGGCAGGAGGAATGCAAGTTGGAAGACAGCCTCGGCAATTTAGTGAGGCCCAAAGCAATTCAGCAAGACTGTCTCAAAATAAAAAGTAAAAAGGTCTGGAGATATTGCTCAGAGTAAAGCACCCCTAGTTTCAATCCCTAGTACCTTAAGAAAAAATTTTTAAAAGTACCAATTATGGCTCTTAAAAGGGAACACTGCTAGAGACAGTTTTATATAATCAATTACTTAATCAGCTATATATATATATATAATGAAACCCAACAGAATTGTCCATCAATACTGCAGTGACCATCCCAACTCAGCAACATACCAACTATATATGGCCACAGGAAGAAACCAGATGGTTAACAAATCCCTGAGGATACAGAAGCTTCCTGCTTGGAAACCCTTCTGTCCCACAATTCACACCTCTTCTAATATGTACACTTAATCTGAAATAAGCACAGCTACTTGAGAGGAGAGAATTGAGATATTCAACACACTGTCTGTTTTCTTGGACATATATCCCACAGTTTGTACACAAGTGTGGATAATATCTAGTTCCTCAGGTAGAATGTGAGGGGACTGGTGTCCCTGGAGTGGGAATTGTTGCGCTCACTGGAGAAAGGCAGAAAAACCATCAGACAGCAGGCTGATGAGAGAAAGAACCTGTAGAGCTCCCCATGCCCCACGCAGACCTGGGGACAGTGAAAATCACAGCTACACATGCTGAGCCGCTGAGCCTTGTGCCAACTCAATCACCCTTATGTACAAAACCACGAGTCTTCAACCTTACCAGGTAGGGCCTCAGAGCTGGTGATGGCCAAGCCAGGTTTCATGATCACACAGTTGGAGCCCTGGCCAGGTGTTAGCTCACCAACCTCACTCTTTCCCAGGACCTGGAACAAGTTGATGGGTTTGGCTGACCAGAGGAGTACAGGTCAAAGGGCAACATGGCTACAAAATCCAGAGGCCACAGTACGATGCTTCCCAAGAGATACCGAGGCCAGTGTCTTCTCTGCCTCAAGCCTGCAGGGCCTCCACTAGCCAAGGTCATGGCTCCTACCTGGACAGGTGCTCTGAAAGAGGTCTATCATCACTGTCCACAACTGCTGCCCGTGCTCCAGCTGGAAGATCAGCTCAGGTTTGGGAACAGGATACCCTTTTCAGGGACAAAAGAAAAAAAAAGGGAGAAACATGGATTTTGTGAAAAGCAGTAAACACCCTCCATCTCCTTCAGGCCTCAAGCCCAGCATCCGGTCCTTAGGATGAAGCCTCTCCCACCAGAACAAAAAGAAAGCTGACATGTGACCTGGAACAAGGCTGGCCATCCACACTGGATGACCACTGTGCCCCAGTATGCACTCAGAAGCTGGCACATACCAGGGCTAACCACGTCCACAGGACTAGGCAAGCAGGTTGAATGCACTGGGTCAGCTCAAACCTGAACAATATATAAGCAATAATTTAGGGGAAAACAGACATCTAAAATCTGTCTTCACTCAGAGCAAAGGTATGTGTATTAGTCAGTTTTCCTTTCCTCATCTAATGCCTGACTCTTGGCAATGAAAACAACAGAGGTATACTTAGCACACGGCTTTGGAGATTTCACATCCAACTCAGGCAAATTAACGCAGATTAATCTTTTCCAAGGGCAGTGCCGACAACGACCCTATGACCTTCCA